ATCTGCTGGTGTTGGTCTATTGTGTTTTTTGAAAACCAACGTCACTGCACCTGTTTACCAAGAAATTTTGGAGCACTTCATGTTTCCTTCTGCTGACCAGCTTTTTGAATATGCTGATTTCATTTTCCAGCAGGATTTGGCACCTGCCCACACTGCCAAAAGCACCAAAAGTTGGTTAAATGACCATGGTGTTGGTGTGCTTGACTGGCCAGCAAACTCACCAGACCTGAACCCCATAGAGAATCTATGTGGTATTGTCAAGAGGAAAATGAGAAACAAGAGACCTAAAAATGCAGATGAGCTGAAGGCCACTGTCAAAGAAACCTGGGCTTCCATACCACCTCAGCAGTGCCACAAACGGATCACCTCCATGCCACGCCGAATTGAGGCAGTAATTAAAGCAAAAGGAGCCCCTACCAAGCATTGAGTACATGTACAGTAAATGAACATACTTTCCAGAAGGCCAACAATTCACAAATTTTTTTTTTTAAGTATTATAAAGTACTTATGAAGTATTCTAATTTGTTGAGATAGTGAATTGGTGGGTTTTTGTTAAATGTGAGCCAAAATCATCACAATTAAAGGAACCAAAGACTTAAACTACTTCAGTCTGTGTGCATTGAATTTATTTAATACACAAGTTTCACAATTTGAGTTGAATTACTGAAATAAATGAATTTTTCCACGACATTCTAATTTATTGAGATGCACCTGTATGTGTACGAAGCACAAGCTACCTTTTTTGAGTCATGTGCAATCAAGGAGTGTCAAAAGTTCCTCGTTCAAGGTTTTTATTGTCTGTACCTGACGTGCCTTATGTGCGAGAGCAGCATGAGCAGATGGGCTAGTCTGGTGGAGCGCTGCTGGAAGCTCAGGCCTGTCTTCGAGATGGCCCAAACCAGAGCATCCGTCACCGAGTCCAGCAGACACAGCAGCTTCGACCGGCTCTGCAGCTCCTCTCCTCCCTCCGCCGAACTCAGGCACATGTCTGCAATGACGCACGAGCGCAGGTTTGCAGAGATTAAAGCCGCGAGACGCTGACATTTACAGCCGTTTGAAATAATAGAGGGTGATACCCAAATAAGCACCCAATTCAAAGAATATCCCATTCAAAAACAACGCAACACATCTGAAGCAATCAAATAAGTTATACAGAGGGGACAAAGTGAAGACAGCTGTTGGGGGCTGAGAATGAAGAGATAATGCATGAGAAAAAGTAGTTTTCCAAGAAATACTGGTTCCTTCAGACGTTGAACACTTGGCAGGTACTGCCTGTTACTTGCATAAGTGTGTGCTATGAAATGGATACTTGGAGCAAAGGCATGTTGTCCCCATTAAGACTTTACAGTGCGTGAGCTGGCCTGGCCTTGCCAACACTCCCTTCAATTAAAGCAAGGATAGTAGTAACCCTCTGAGTTATGGGCCTGGAGTGAACACTATTTATTATGGCTTTGTGGAGGTCAGCAATTTGTTTGGACTTTTGATGACAGAGACAGTAAGAGGACAGGAAATGTTATTTTATTTATTTATTTAGTCATTTATCAGACACTTTTATCCAAAGCGACTTACAAATGAGGACAACAGAAGCAATTAATCAAGAAATGAAGGTGAGTATGATCACTGCATGACACCAGCTGGAATCGAACCCACTTCTCCCGTGTGAGAATCACTCATATATGTCTGGAGCACAAGCACTAGGCCACAGAACTCATTTATGATCAACAGAGCCAAAAGACTACTCCGAGTATGTTTATGGATGTTCACTATACTTGATATACTATACTATATACTTTTTTTGATGTTTTTGTTTTTTACTTTACAATCGAGTGTTAGAGACAGACTGTATACATTTGCTGACTTATTTAATTTAGCTTGCAGTTTGTGCTAAAACATGAAACCATATTAAAAAATCCACCATTTATTAAAGTATAGAACAGTGAAAAGATTCAAAATGTTGTCAGATTTAGCAATAAATCTTTTATGCTTCCCAATTTTTTTCAAAATGTTATTCTGCATATTGCAGTACATTTTACTATACTTGACATTGTTAACTGATTATTTAAAAATAAAAATAAAAATACAATACTGGTCAAAAGTTTTGGGTCAGTATGTTTTTCTTGTTTTTTTATGAATACTTTTATTCAGCAAGGACTCATTAAATTAGTCAAATTTTATAATGTAACAAAATATTTATATTTCAAATAAATACTGTTCTTTTAAACTTTCTATTTATCAAATAATCCTGAAAAATGTTTCCATAAAAATGTTCAGTACAACTGTTTTCAACATTGAAAATAATTATAAATGTTGTGAATCAGCAAATCAGCATATTAGAATGATTTCTGAAGGATCATGTGACACTGAAGACTGTAAAAACATTTTTAGAAAATAGTTCTTTATGAATTAACATTGATTAAGATTAAATATTAATGAATCCTCAAATTTTCTATTTACTGGCTGCAGTCTGGCATCATGGGTCATGTGACAGTCAAAAATAAATAAATGAAAAAAGACCATGTGTGTACATTTAAACAACAGAGCTTGATATCATATATCACAATAGAACATTTTCAATGAGAAAAGTTTGATTTCATACATTTTTCTAAAGTTTAAAAAATATTTTTTTGAGAATTTTTCAGAATGTGCTGTGAATGCATTCTATTTAATCAACTGAGATATTAGACTGATATCCACCGTTTGTCTATCCTACAGGGAAGGTCAACAAAACATACACATTCATTTTTTTCTAATAAAAATACATTTGTTTTAGTAAGACAAGTGGTAAAAATGCTTTCACATTTCATAAAACGTTTAATGAGAACACTCACTGGAGTTGAGAAGGATCATGGCTTTGAGACAAGCATACTCCTCTCTCTGTAACTTCAGTTCTCTGAACCTGGACGTGGCTGCCAGCAGCATATCAAAGATCTCCACAAACCCCTGCACACAGCTGCCTTCATCCCTGACAAACACAAAGACATTTAGCAGTCTTGCAAATTAGCTTCACACCATCAGAAACCCAGGACCGGGCCTCAATCTCAAACCTCAGTAGTCCTATTCCAAACTTGGCACCTACTGAAAGTACGAATGGCGAAGTCTGTACAAAGCGTCAATGGAAAATCAGAGTACTAGTGCTCTCTGAGACGCTGAGAGGTGCTGCAATTGGGTCTGCAGCAGTGAATGAGACTGGGAACGGCTCTAACACTTCATTAAAACTTGTGAGAACAGACATGCACTATTTTTTTGGCACTTTTTTGATGCTGACAAGCAGTTTACCAAGTTAAACTCAGGGATCCAGTTGGCTATAATACAATTAATTCCTTTTCCAAAATGCAGCCCATGAAAATACAGTAAATGTCTGGCAGCATATCAAATGGTAAGCATATTTACAGCTCACCCATGACTGTTTGGAAGTGTAGTCGTGTTTTTCTGTCAATATGGGGTGCTGTGTGTACATTAATGAGGAAAAAAAAATAACTGAAATGATTTTAGCAAATGGCTGCAATATCACAAAGAGTGAAAAATTTAAGGGGGTCTGAATACTTTCCGTACCCACTGTAAATTCTGCGGAGCATCTGTAACACTGGCCCAATTGTTTTTTCTCACATTAAAACATTGGTTACACACCATGTTAGTGGGTACAAAGGGCAGTAGAGCAGAGGGGGGTGATAATACACAAGCCATAGCTGAATCAGTTCCTGTCTTCCCGCAGCTCTCTAATTCGCACCACACAGAGCCTCACGCTCACTCTGACACATCTGGCCAAACCGCTGATTTTGTTTCACAGCAATATTCTTCAGATATTTTGCTATATTCTGCGCAAACACAACTGGTATGAATACACAGTTCTTTATACTAAGCTTCTGCAGTGTGAGAAGACACACGTTACAATTTATATTACATAATAAATTTCTAGTGAAAACACAGGTGCCAAGTTATTAGAAACATACTGTTTTAATGTTGATTTCGAATGGATTTAATAGATTTGTACATTTTCAAGATAATTTTAAATGTAATGAATATTGATAAACAAATGTCTTGTGGTGTTAATAGTTTATTTTGTTTAAAAAATATTTTGTTTACAAGTCATTAGCAAAAGTCTTTTACTGTATTTTTAAGTAGTACTACTACTACTAGTAGTAGTAGTAATAATAATGCTAAAAAAAAAATTATGCCAAACTACTTCAGCATTTTTTTTTTAATGAGACCTTTTTCTTCATTTTGATACAACAGTTGCATCACCCTGACTCATTTAATTTTATGTCCTCCCCAAAAATATAAAAATTAAATTAAATTCAGGAATTAAAACATGCTCATCATATGAACCGCATTTTTGGGGGGATAAATGCACTGAAGAAATGAATAAATCCAGACAAAATGAGTGTCATGTCATGTTATTGACTGAATATATTTAGGTTGGCACTGCTAACTTTACACTCTCAAGTGACCAGAGGGTTAACTAGAGTCTGTACATCAGAATGTCATCAACATGTAATCAGTGACTTAAATCCCCTATATCTTATACCATACTGGCACATAAAAATACTGACCATCTAAAGCATTTGACAATAAAAAAAACATTCAAAGCACAGATAGATGGATGTGCCTGTTCATTAATTAGGCAATGGGTAGGATAAACGCAATTAAATGACACTAGTTACCTGCTGAGACTGAGGTCTGGGGAGAAAATGAGCTTTCCAGGATGATTAACCGACCGCCACATCAGTCCCAGCATCAGCACCTCTAACCAGCAGCACTCCAGCAAATGGACCTGGTCAAAAAGACCGATCTCCACAAAACCTGCAGGGAGAAATAAGCACTTACTAACAACTGCATGCACATCCAAAAACAGTTTCATGCAATCCATATCATTCAAACCCAGTCAATAGTTTGCAGGTAATCACAATTAATACAGTAGTTAATTTCAGCAGGCAGCACTTCACTGAATGAAACTGAATAAGATAAGGCTTGTGTCGCCACATAAGAAGCTCATCCCTGGGGATCGAAGAAGGGTCTGAGGGATGGTTTGCTGATGTTCTCAGAATAAACAAACTGCTCATGTTCTGAATCAGAACAGGGTGATTCACTAATAAAGACTCTGCCCATCTCAAAAGCCAAGAAATAATTAAAATGATAAATCAGACAAGAAAACAGGAAACATCAAATACATTTGAAAAAATATTAAACGTAGGGTAGGCGATTTTAGAGAGGCTAGCAATGGCAATCTAGTTTTGAAAGCATAAGATCCCACCCTCCCTGCAAATCCCTCTCCTAAGCCACGCCTCCACCAAAACACACATGCAAACCAGAGGCTAACCAGCGACACAATGAGAGACGGTGTTGGTGGAGGGCTGAATGCAACATTGGTGCATATTTCAATAATAATGCCTTCCGTTCTTGCTTATTCTGCAATAGCGTAATGGAACACGCTTTACTGTTGCACTCTGACCAAGGGATATGATTGGAAGAAAATTGTATGGTCCTATGCCTTTCACAGACATAACAAAAGACCAGCATAACAAAAAAATGTTTTTGAACCAAATCACCTACCCTGCCTTCAAGGGAAAAGACTTCTTATGGTTCCTTCATTGCAGATTTAAGGCTGATAAATTATAAATCATTTGCCTATGAATCACTAATAGATTTTATATATACCATACATGTATCTATAAATCTATTAGAAAACCCTAAGGAACATGTTGAATGAAAAAAAAATTGTAAAATTATATTTCAAAGCTTTTGATTTCACTCGCAAAACTTTTGCATTTCTCAGGAAACTCTTCCGTTTTCTTGCAAAAGTATTGCTTTGTCTTTTGACCAACTTTGTGCTAGCTTGCAAAATCACTGAAATATAGTTTTTCCTCCTACTTCTACATTTTTTTAAATCACCAATTTTGCAAGGGGGAATTTTTCCTCAATCCCCTTTTTTTTGTTTCCATATCACAACCGCCACATTAAACACACCTGAACCAGCTAATTAAGGTCTTACTACGCATACTAGAAACTTCCAGACAGGTGTGTTGAGAGCTAAACTCTCTCCGGGACCGAGTTTGGAGACCCCTGCTGTAGGGGCTCTGTATTAAACACATTGACGCATTACACATCAAGTTTAATGTTAAAACGCTTCCAACCAGAAAATCTATTTAATCCATCCGCTACAAAAATGCTTCTTCAAAGTTCAATATTAAAGATATTTTGCAGTCTAAAACTATGAAAAGAATGAGCATTTTTGAGTGTTTTTTTAGAATAGTGAGTTTTGATTTATGAAATCAATAACATCTGTGGTTAACATCACTTGAGGACACGTTTGGTTCAATAACATGAATTACATACAGTGGTCAAATTGAATCTGAAACTGTGTGCTTTAAAACATTTATTAATCTTAACAAATAAAATAATTACTTACCCACACAGTCATACCATGTTCAAATTGCTATGTGCTTGAGGAATGAAGTGAAATTGAACTGTTGAACACCTCATGCAGCAACTTGTTAGCAAAATTTTTAAAGCACAAATCAACTGTAAAAATTGTTTAAACATGTTATGTATGACGTAATAATTGTAATTTACAATATCCTAAATTCAGAAGATGACAAATTCTCCTCAAGTAATGTTAACCCCATTCCTTGCTGTACTCATAAATTGAAAAATGCTACTCTAAAAACCCATTTGAAATTCCAGTGAATCCACAGTGAATCAGCTTTGCGGGTTTGGTCTACAAACTGATGCTGACCGACAGGCTCTTTTCCATGTGGATTTGCAGTTAGGCAGATTTGTGTTATTAGAAGTGTTCTATAAACTAACAGAAATCTATTAACACACTTTGCTAGTGTTATAACTGAATAGGTTTTTCCTATGAATCTGGTTATACATTCACCTGGGATCTTCTTGGCCCAGCTGATCATGTGAACAAGCTCTTTGTCAGCCAGGTTGGTCAGTGACATCATGACGTTGGCCTCAGTGAACGGCTTCTTCACATCTTTCATTAGATGAATCTCGGGTGGCTCTGCATCCATGATTCGAGCGATTAGCTCCTCAGGGCTCAACGCCATGGTAACCACCTTATTTCCACTGAGGGGACGTTGGACACTTTTGATTTCTTGAGATCTCGGGCCACTTGTTCTCATCCTGCAAGAGAATCGTGCCAGTCGCTTCTGCTGTGCTCCTCTTTGTTGGTAGTTGCCACGATCTCTCCGTAACCCTGTGAAAAACGCCATGTAAATTGCACAATTCACTTCAACCTCATCTATGCTGGTTTAAAGGTTTATACGGACTAAATATACAAGCAATAGTCCAATCAATAGCAGCTGATATAAAGGTGAAGTGTGTAATTTTTTTTTACATTCTTTCTACAATCTACTATGCAGAGTCAAGAGTAAGTCATTAATTCGTAAGTTAACCCAAAGTGTAAACAGCTGCAAAACATTGCTTGTTTGTTTGGGCATCCTGACCAGCACAGCAACATTTGGTGCAACCAATGGCGTGAATGTAGGCAGGACTGTGTGTTTGTCTGACCAATGGTAGACAGAGGGAGCTGTTCATGAACATTCATCACCTTTGCATATATGTTTGGTGCCAATAGAGGTGCAGAAATGACACACTTTCCCTATAATCCCAGTTTTGTCTTAAACCAGTGGTTCTCAACCACGGGGCCTCAGCAAAATTCCAAGGGACGACTTAAAGGTATTTAAATTCATAAATTAATGTTAATATATTAAAATTAACATTATCAAAACCAAAATTAGTTTGAACAGAAGGCAAAGCCAAAAGCTGCAAAAACATATTACAAAATTGTGTATTTTATATGACATCTGATACATTCTAAAGAGCTCAAAACAACCACATCAGCCAATGAGATGAGAGTACATCACTTTCAAAGCTGTGAAAGTAGACTGTCCTAAAACACCGGATGAGGATAGACGGTAACAGTCTCCACAGCAACACAGGCTTAATTCGACTAGCAGGAACAAGCTCTCCAAGATACTCACCCAACTCACAAACAGCTCAAAAGACCACATGCAAGACTGTCTGGTTCAAATATGTGTGAATTTTTATTATGAGAAATCTTAAAACTTATGTATGATGAGATCAGTTCTGAGTAATTTATCTGGGTTGTTTTGGTGCAACTTTTGACCAACATCTATAAATAATCAGGGCTCTATCACATTATCATTACAATGGTGATGCATATCAATACTTCACGGCATGATAGCTGTTTAATATTGGCACATAAATTCCAAAGTCCATGACTTTGCAGCAATCTCTGATGAAGTATTTGGTAACTGTGTGGGTGTAGAAAAGGTGTTGGTAGGGAGGAATGGAAAACGAAAGAGTCCCACCACATTTCATCATTCCAACTTCATAACATTTTCGGAGACGGCAGGCCTGGCAGCTTTTGCGGCGGTTCTTGTCGATGGTGCACTGGTTGGTGGCAGGGCAGATGTAGTCATTGTGTCCTGAGAAAATTAATCAGATGTTCCTTATTATCCACTGAGCAGTTGCTTAGAGCTTAACAAGCTGACAAATCTGTTACAATGCTTATGGACTGCAAAGCAGTGGCCAGATTGGCCTTATAGAGACATTAAAATAGCACAGCATTGGTTGTCAGGGACAATGGAAAAATAATAGTGTAGAATCATTATATAAAAATATTTGAGCACAGAATGCCATGACTGACCAATTAGAATCAATTATTCCAGAGTTAAATTTATGAGGATTAGCATTTATGAAGGAAAATGTGGCTGCAAAGGCATCATTATACACTGTAAAGATGGCTGCTAATGGTTAATTACATGCAAGGGGGACAAGGCCGTTCACAATTCAGCACATATAAAAGTCTAATCACAAATCAGTATGCAAATTTATGATGCCACCATCGCACTCAGTTACATTTGAATGCTGGACATTCTATCAGTGTGGGAGATTTCAACCTTTAATCTTACATTTTAAAGAAGGGATGGAGAGTATACTAGTATTATTTACCAGAACAGTCAATTTTATTGTGTAGAAAATAAGCATGGTAATTCCCCCAATTTTTTTTACATTTAGATTACCCTGTATGGATGCGCTTGTGTAAGAAAAATATCCGTATTTAAAATTTTATAAACCGTAATCTCTAGCTTCTCTAGCTTAATTTTTGGGTAAACTATCCCTTTAAAGGGTTAGTTCACCCAAAAATGAAAATTAGCCCATTATTTACTCACCCTCAAGCCATCCTAGGCGTATATGACTTCCTTCTTTCAGACCAATCCAATCGGGAGGTTTATTAAAAATTGTCTTTGATCTTCCAAGCTGTATAATGGCACTCAGCGGGTGTTGCAGTTCATCAGTCCAAAAGAAGTGAAATAAAGCGCATGTATCCATAATAAAAAAAGCGCCTCACACAGCTCCGGGGGGTGAACAAAGGCCTCCTGTAGCGAATCGATGCGATTTTGTAGGAAAAATATCCATATTCAAAACGTAATAATCAATTTAATATAGCTTGCGCTCACTGTTATACACGGAAGCAGCTCCGGGAGGATGACGTAAAATGTCAGCATTGCGCATGCGCCGGTGAGTCTTGTGAAAACCAACATTTGTTAACAGGAGCAAAGGAAGCAAAGTTTCCTTACTTTAGCAAAGGAAAACCAGTCTCCTCTTGGCTTATATTGAAATCCTCTGACATTCTTCTTTACAAATCCTCGTTTTGTACTTCTAATAAGTGACCGGTGTTTTGTTTTGATCTCTCCCCTGCGCTTCCACATTCATCACTTCTGAGCGGCGCATGAGCAACGCCGACGTCCTACATCATCCGCCTGGAGCTGCTTCCATGTACAACAGTGAGCACAAGCTAGATTAAATTGATTATTACGTTTTAAATATGGTTATTTTTCTTACAAAAACGCATCGATTCGCTACAGGAGGCCTTTGTTCACCCCCGGAGCCGTGTGAGACACTTTTTATTATGGATGGATGCGCTTTATTTCACTTATTTTGGACTGATGAACTGCAACACCCGCTGACTGCCATTAAACAGCTTGAAAGATCAAAGACCATTTTTAATATAACTCCAACTGGATTCATATGAAAGAAGAAAGTCATATACACCTAGGATGTCTTGAGGGTGAGTAATTCATGGGCTATTTTTCATTTTTGGGTGAACTAACCTTTTAAAATGATTGATTTCAGTTTTCAGGGTTTTATTTTTTAATTAATTTAGACAAATAGAATTTTAATATCAGCCATTTATTGGTTATAGGTCATAACATGAAAATTATTATCAGATGATCAATATCGCCTAGATTTTTAATATCGGTGCATCCTTACTAATAAGTACACAACAAAGTACATGAGTAATTTCAGAGAGCGATACCTTGTATACTCCTCTTGAAGAAGGCTTTGCATCCTTCACACGACCACACGCCATAATGATACCCAGAAGCGTAATCGCTACAGACGGCACAGTAGTGCATGTCAGCTTTACCTCTCAAAGAGGTAGAAGTCTCCTCTGCATCTGCTACCCTCTTTGCCAGCGGTTTGCTATGGAGCAGAGCGGACACATGCATCTGAGTAGCTTTTGTGCTAGTAACTAGACAGTCAGTACTATGTAATTGTACGAAGTCAAAAAAATAATTGTATTTCCACATACCAGTTTTCCTCTTCGCCGTGATCATGTGGTGTAAGTTCCGCCCATGTCCCACCAGTTGGATGGTTTTGTTGTAGTTGAGTCTGTTGCTGATGCAATGCAAGTGAGGAAACGTGGCTATGAGGTGGCCAAAAGAAGGTGGGGCTTAGCGACTGCCGTACTGATGAGCAGTCGGACAGAGGAGATGTGCCGTAACCCAGCGGAGCGGGACTGTAGAATGGCAGAGTGGTGAAGTCATGGCCGAGGTCTGTGTAGGGTGATGGGATGCAGATGGGGTGGCTCTCCACCGGCAGGGATGGAGAGGAGGAGTTAAAGATAGGAGAGAGGACGTGGCCTCCCACCCTGCTGGAGTCCACTTCCTGCAGCTGAAGTAGAGGGCTGTCTCCCTCGGGATACTCGGACATGGTGAAGGCGAACAGTGCCGAAGAGTTCAGTGCTGTCATATCATCAACAGGGAACTGTTGCTGTAAGTCATGTTGAACTCCTCACACATCGATACTGAAACCTGTTGCAGCCTAATACACAATCGACAGGAAGCTTTCCATTTATAGTGAGAAATTAACAGGAAAGGCACTGCTAATATTATTCATTCTGTATCTGTTCTAGTGAGCAGTTCTTAACTTTCAATCTCTTGAAGAAAAGCACATTCAAATAATCAATGACCTATTGGAAGCAAATGCATTAAGAGGTTCAAATTGCTTGCAAACAAAATCAGCATACCAACAACTTTTAAATCAATGGCTAAATACCATATAATCAGTCTAGAATGCATTTTCCAACTTCAAATGCACTCATAATATGTTAAGGTCTCTGGTGGCCAATATCACATCATTTTTCACACAAACTAGGTAAACTAGGTATTATAAAAGAAAATATTGTATTTTTAGAAAGTTACAGGTCCTTGGCATCAAAAAGCTTCTGCACTAGAAGATAGAGGTTCATAGTTGTTGCCACTGCTTAGTCATATACTCAATAGCTAGGTAAACACCTTTCATGTCATACTATATTGTGTATTTTAGCAGAGCCAGAATGCAGTATTTACCAATCAGATTGGAACTGTCTTGTCAACACTACAATTGAAAAGACTGGAGTCAGTAAGATATTTTAAATATTTCTGAAGGTCTCTCATGCTCACCAAGGCAGCATTTATTTAAAAATAGATTTAAAAAAACAGCAATATTGTGAAATATTATAACAATTTACAATAACTGTTTTCTATTATAATATACTTTAAAATGTCATTTATTTTGGTGATGCCATACATGGTGACTCCAGTATTCAATGTCACAGGATCCTTCAGAAATCATTCTAATATGGTGATTTGGTGCTAAGAAATATTTCTTATTATTACCAGTGTGCAAAACAGTTGTGTTGCTAAATGTTTTTATGGGGGGAAAGATAATAATACATTGTCTGCCCAAAAAAATTATACATCGTATCATCATCATTTTTTGATTTTCAATGTGTCCTTGCTTCAAGTATCAATTTCTATCCACAAAAAAAATAAATGAATAAAAAATACTGACCCCCAAACTGTTGAATGATAGTATATTTTCATTAAGCTACAACCAGACAAAATGAGCATCCTTAAGTCAATAATTACTGACAAGTCATTCATAGCGCAGGCTGGGTGACAAGACTGGATTAAGGAAGACTAGATAATCATACGGTGCTTTCCACAAAAAAAAAAAGAGGCAAAATTCAATCAAACCCAACTTCATATATATATATATATATATATATATATATATATATGTCAACTTACTCTTATTCTTTATCATCTAACAAATACACGTAAAATGTGTTCTTCTTTCGTAATTATCGGTATATACCGTATACACATAATTTACATTTAAATGCATTTGGTAGATGCTTCTATCCAAGGTGACATTAAAATGTACAGATTTTATCTGTTCATGCATTGCCTGGATTGAACCCATGACTACTGACATTAGTCATGCTCTAGAGGAACGCTCATAAAGCTGGTCTCACTACAGTTTAATAGCAGATATTTGTTTGAAGCTATTAGCTTGTGAATACTGAAAAGCAGCTGCGTTTCTTGTATATCTGCCAATTTTAGGTCAGTTTAATAAACTTTCAGCCTGTTGCTAGGCCTGTCACGATAACAACTTTTTGTTGTGCGATATATTGTCCCAGAAATAATTGCAATAAGCGATATTATTGTCATTTTAAAGACCATTTTATGCACTCAGATGTCAGTCAGATGTCCGCATGCACAAAGGCACAGATCCCTAAACAAGACCATATCTGCAGATGAAACATTTTTGTAGAAGCATTTTTTTAGTCAGTATAATCAAACACAGCTGGACTCAAATTAAGGTGTAGAACCATCTCAAGGATGCTCAGAAGAAATGGACAGCACCTGAGTTAAATATTTGAGTGTCACAGCAAAGGGTCTGAATACTTAGGACCATGTGATATTTCAGTTTTTCTTTTTTAATAAATCTGCAAAAATGTCAACAATTCTGTGTTTTTCTGTCAATATGGGGTGCTGTGTGTACATTAATGAGGAAAAAAATTTACTTAAATGATTTTAGCAAATGGCTGCAATATAACAAAGAGTGAAAAATTTAAGGGGGTCTGAATACTTTCCGTACCCACTGTATATTGCGCGATAAGTCGATATATTGATTATTGCGACAGGCCTACCTGTTGCGTACAGCTCAGTGATAGCATGAATCTAAGTTGCATTCGTAAAGGCCTAAAGATCTGCCTCGGGAACATTTACATTTCTCTAACACAGAATATCCATAAAAATTATTCAAGGCATGAAGACACATTTTTATTTCTCTCAGCTCTTTGCAGTGCTGCATTTCTAATGGCACATGTTAGTTCTTACAAATTTAACACAGAAGTCTGTTAAAATGACTCTTACCTATACAGTGTTGTAGACTGTACTTGCGGGAGAGGCAGTTAGCCACTGGTGAGTCCGCAGAGGACTTCTGAACCCTCGTTTCAGTGCAGACAGGCAACTGGCCAAAACATACCCTGGCACAGAGCACAAGCACCTGCAACATGACAAAATGACAGAAAAAAAGGTATGATGCTGTGAATTGCAAACATTAATTTTCACATAAAATGGTAAAAAAAACCTATTATTTTTAATTTACTATTTTTATAAATAATTAAAATTATATTTCATGAATTATTAATATGCAAGTTTTGATTAGCGACATTAATTGAAACCAAAGACTCTCATTACCACGTTGCATCGGCATGATAGGTAATTATATCCTTTTTTGCGCATCACACACTACAGAAAAAAGACTATAAAATGCTATAGTAAAAAACGGTTAATTGGTTAAATGTAAGTTACCTTACTGTATATGGTGAAAAATTGTAAGTGGTTTGACATCACATTATACATAATTGTACTGTAAAATAATGTAATAAATTATGATTTTTGTTTTTATGTAAACCTATCATACTTAACTAACATTACCATTTAATTTATGCTGAAAAACAGTAAAAGTTGTGACCTCACACATGATTGTATTTTATTTATATAGATGTTTCTTTTATATTTTTGTTATCTAATTATTTTAGTATCATCATGGTGTTTTGCCTTTGTATGTATAACCCTGTGAACTGTCTGTATACAAATATTGGCCATGTTTTATGGACAGTCCACTTACGATGAACTACTGTGATTTATTGTGGCTTTCTATTGAGCTGTATTATCATGGTGGCTATCAGTACATTTTAGTAGTTTTGGTACATTTTGGTAGTCTAAGTATATGTAATTGTGGAAACATTTTCAGTGTATTTTTGTGTTGAATTTCTGGCAACCACAGCTGTGATTCTTTAGTGTCAATTTTTATTTATTGCACATTGTAAATTTAGTAGACATTGTTTACAGTGCAGGTCATTGTATTTTTAGATAGCTATTTCTTATGTAAAGTGCTAAATATGCATTTAGTATGCAACTTCATACAAATCACCAGCTGTAGAGTTTGGTCAAACGCAGACAGTAAAATCCTCTGTTCATTCCCACCATACGGATAACGGGGAAACTAATCTTCCCATTACAAACCCAGTAACCTCAAACCCTTTTAACTCCTATAATTCCTCTGAGAGGAGGCTAAGAAAGACTAAGATAGAACGGAAGACAGAGAGAAGGAGACTCCGAAAGCAGGACAGACTGAAGCTGACTGCGTCAACTCTCTCCTGACAACCAGTCTGGCATGATGCGTGCTCTTGTCTTGAGGCAAAAGAGCGCCCGGTCACCGGCCAGCAGTGCATACCCAAAACAAAAGCCCAAGGCCGTGGTGTGATCTTCCCTCTCACTCCCTTGTCTGGCGGAAAACGGATAAGGGAGTGAAGGAGCGACGGAAACCATGCCCTGTGCAGGAGTTGTGGGAACAAGGAGGAAGACCACCGTTGAGCTTGATGCAAACCCTTAAGACTATGAACCTTCTAATAATATAGTGCATGTTAAAAATACAGTGCTATATTATTAGTCTTCTTGTAGTTTGAACAGTAGAGCATGGTGTTAGCAACAGTAGGTCATACGTTTGATTCCCAGAGAATGCAAGAATTAATATAACCACCAAAAAAAGAAAACACCATAAAAAAAATATTATAGAATAAAAACGTTTAAATTATACAAAAAACGATTTTTATAATAAAAACAAAAAATAACAAAATTAAAAAAATTAAGGCAAAATTAAAAAAAGATACAATTCTTAATTTTAATTTTAATCTTTTTACTAGTGCACATGACCTCTTAAGAAGCAAAAATACCAGCAATTTAAAACAGTTGGAATAAATGAAATACGAGAGGAATTCACAGCCTTTTTAACTGAGAATAAATCAAAAGAAACCGTGTAGCACAAACTGCCTGTGGTTAAAAAAGATGCAAGAGTTAAAATCATACACTATATAACATGTATATACATCCACCCCACATTAAAAAACTACACATAACAGCAGCTGACCAACTGATTTGTATTACCGTACAACAGTTTTGTAAGACCATTAAATGTCACCACCTGCTGAAGCCAGGACCAGGTTAAAACTCACTGACACCATTACTGACTTTTTTGGGGGAAAAATGTACAAGTAATCCATAAATATTTTACTGGTAATGTTCACTGAGACTATGATCACTGAGAGTAGTTTCAAGATGTACTTGTGACAGATTACTCAGACGAAAGAATTAATTATCCGTGTCAGTGATTTAATATGAATATTTATAACAGTTGAGGACAACATTTCTCCTTTGTCTACTAGAAACATTTCAAAATAGCCAGATTTCTGTTTATAAATTCACCAACTGTAACATATGCACAGCACATATACACACTCTCATCCTCATGCCTCGCAATGCCGCTTAAAAGTGCATGAAGAAGATGTTCTGCACGCTTCCATTAATTAACCTGCTTGCGGCATTTTCGATTGAACAGTGCACGCGTAAACATGCGTACTGTAATCAAGCCCACGCGCTGAATGAATCACTGCAATGCCATTGATATAGGGCGATAAGTTTACTAAAAACGGACTGCAAGACAGTGAACCTACCTGTTGCAATCGATGTTTAGTTGATCAACAGATGGTCCACTGTAAGGCTCGATCTCTAAGTCGAAAAATATCCCAAAAGAGAATGTTATTGCTTGATTTGATCGCTGTTAAAGCCTGTGTACTAGGGAAATGGCCAGTGTTTTGATGAGCTGTCAGGAGGATACATGTTAAAGTGTGCTCTGCTCCGTCTGTCACTGAACGCTCGTACTTATTTGAGAGTCTGTACGTCACTGACCACACCCGCCTCCTGCTCGAACATCTGCTGTTCAACTGCTGCTCACTGGGCGCTCTGTAGGTTACGAACCGGATCATTGTTAATGACAGCTGAATCATTCCATGCAAACAATTTTTTAAAAATGCTCATGTCATTTAAGTTAAGTACTTATTTGGTACATCAGTCTTTTAGGCTGGTGAAATACAGGCACTTAAACTTAATCTATTACACAATGGAAGAAAAAAAACTAACAAGACAAAGGGCTTTTTTATCAAACAGAATAGAATGTTTTAAAGTGAAACAAACACATACCACAAAACATCAGTTCTTTAAAGGGGTCATATGATGCGATTTAAATTTGTCCCTTCTCTTTGGAGTGTTACAAGCTCTTGGTGCATAGAAGATCTGTAAAGTTGCAAAGACTAAAGTCTCAAATCCAAAGAGATATTCTTTATAAAAGTTAAGAGTCAGCCACGCCTACCTAAAACGGCTCGTTCGAACACGCCCCCACATATCTACCTCACTGTGTGGGAAGATTTGCACAAAGCCGCCCAAATGTTCACGCAAAGAAAGAAGGCGTAACTTTTATTCTCACTGTAGTATTGTTGCCGCTTTCCGCCATGTCCTGAAGACGCTGTGTGCTTCGTTGTGAAAGCGAAACTACTTTGTTTGGTCTTCCAAAAGAGGACGATATCCGCTTCGTCATGCCTAGAGCTGATCCGTGCTGGTCGCTGAGGAAATACATCAACTTAGTGCTGTGGATCGCCAGATCGGCTTTTACCCTGGACGAAGCCCGGGGTCGTCACATGTGCTTGCCGCTCCTTCGTCGGATCCGCCGGCTGCGCCGTTCTCAACCCCGCCGCCTCTGCTCACTCTAGCCCGGCCTCAGCTCACGCTAAGCCGGGGCTTCCGCTAGGCCGCTGTGTTTTTGTTGTGAAAGCGAAACTACTTTGTTTGGTCTTCCAAAAGAGGACACGACTACAAATCAGTGGTTAAGTTGTATTTACAACGCTGTTCCAGAACAGTTTAACCCAAATATCCAGATGTGTGCAGCGCATTTTATGGAGGACTGTTTACTGATCCGTTAGACTAAAATGCCGGCAGTTCTGACTCACGTAAGTAAGTTTTAATTTAAAGGATTTGCCACTGATATTTCAAACGCGAGTTTTGGGCAGTGTAGAGTAGCACTTGTTGTTTGTCATTTCTTGACACGCTTGAGGTATTCGGCCAATCACAACGCACTGGATAGCTGGTCAATCACAACACACCTCGCTTTTTCAGACCGATGAGCTTTGTAAAAATCGACATGCGGAAATGCGGGCATAGAGGAGAAACAATAATGTACAGTATGTGGAAAATAATGTGTTTTTTTTTACTTTAAACCGCATAAACACATTACATTACACCAAATACACAAAATAATGTTCTTTTTAGCAGCATCATATGACTCCTTTAAATCCATAGCTAATGTTTGCATGGTTATATTTCCACCAAAAACGATGTCACTTCCCGGAGGATTATGCCATTAAGGACTTTTTTTATGTTAATAGGAAACTGTATGATTTGGAAAAAGTATGAACTGTATAAGAGTATAAAAGGAAAAGTATGAATTGATATTGAGAAAAAACATATAAATGTATCACAAATTAAAATGTTTTGACTGTAACATTCTTTTAAAAAATAAGTATATAAAAATATGAAGAAACACCTGGGGCATTTCTTAATAAATTGCCAGTTTTTGCATGTTAGAAATTCATGGATAATAAATAAATAAATAATTGTCACACATCTGCAAACCAAGGAAGTCAAATTATTATCATTTTGAATTTAATATTTTGTTAAGTATATTAAAACAGGGACATCAATAATGGGGACATTAAAATTTACTGCAGACTCACTGGAAAGACTTTTCTCCAAATGTATTATAATCTAGTCTGCTTTATTTACTGTATAAGCACGACCCCACTGAATATACAGAAACTAGAATGATTTTTCATGTCTTGGCAATATGATAATTAGGTTAAGTAAACACTTATAATTGCTTGTAAACTTACTTTAAAAGTTTTATATTAAAGGAAAGGTATGAATTGACAAACAAAAAAAACATTTTATTGAGTACTGAGAATTGAGTATTGAGAATAAATAAGTACAAAAATATAGGTTGACAGTTATAGCTGGTCTTTTGCCTTCATAAACTCTGACCTTAAGCTTAGTTATTAACAGGTCAACTTTATGCAGGTGCACGTTGACAATAATGACTGAAAACACATTAATTGAAGACCAAATTAACAGCACAAGCATTGTGTGCACCATGTTTTTATCTGCACAGGCGCTGGATACAATAATTAAAAACAAACAAACTAAAATATTTCACTTTCCCTGTTGTTCTCTTTTGCCTATTTACAGTCATAGTTTTTGGACCTCAGGGAATGGAAGTAGATGGTGGTACATTGTGCACTTTAACAAGGGCTTACAATGCACTGTAATGGCTCTGTAAATGTGGCAAGACAGAGTCGTTGCCACAGGAGACCTGGACTTTAAGCAGAAGCTGAGATGAAATGCTTTTCTCCTACTTTCTCTGTGCACCTACATTCAGGATGTCAGATAAGCAGTCATGTGTCCTGCTGAGAAGATTGCCCCTGTTACTCCTGCATCTCACAAACCCTAGCTCTCTTAGAGGTCTGGAAGTGCATGTCTGGTGATTACAGCTACCTTGCCAGCGCAGGAGACTAACGTATTTGTAGGCTACCTAATTCTGAATAATCACGATTCAACTGACCAGCTCATTTGTTTAGACATGCTTCTTACATTTCCAGGTTCACAACACAGAAGTAAACTATAGTGTGGTAAACTTCTATAGAGGTAAATGAAAGGCAATGGAAATAATAATTTTTGCATTCTTATTTGCTATTAAAAGAAATCATGATTACGTTTCCATGACTGTCCAACGAGAGGAAAAAAAATAGAGAGAGATTGATCACAGCAGTCACTCGAGAGAAAGAGGTCATATTTACTTTCACTCCTGTAGTAGATTATTAGAAACACCACTGCAACAGCATTTACTAGTTTTGTTTGTTTGTTTTATGGAATTTACTGCCAGGGTGAAATCATGCAAAATATAGTGTTATAAATGTATAACATTCTGGTCAAAAGTTTGGAATAGTTTTTTTTTTTATGTTTTTGAAAAAAGTCTCTTATGCTCACCAAGGCTGCATTTATTTGATCAAAAAATACAGTAAAAAAGTAACACTGTGAAATATTATTACTATTGAAAATAACTGTTTTATTTGAATATATTCTCAAATGTAATTTATTCCTGTGAGTTAAGCTGAATTTTCAGCAGCCATTACTCCAGTCTTCAGTGTCACAGGATCCTTCAGAAACCATTCTAATATGCCGAATTGCTGCTCAAGAAACATGTATTATTATTTTCAATGTTGAAAACAGTTTATGCTTCTTAATAATTTTGTAGAAACCGTGATACAAACAAAAGTTTGGGGTCAGTAAGATTTTTTTTTAAAAATCAGCAAATTCAATTGATTAAATTGATCAAACGTGACCGTAAAGACTTAAAAAAAAACATTTATAAAACAAAAACATTTATAATGTTACAAACGATTTCTTTTTCAAATAAATGCTGTTCTTTTCAACTTTCTGTTTTGAACATTGATAATAATAAGAACCATTATTAATAACTGAGCACCAAATGAGCATGTGACACTGAAGACTGTTGAGTACTAGCTGCTAAAAATCGAGTTTTCCCATCACTGGAATATATGAAATATAAAATAGTGATTTTAAATTGTAATAATATATCAGTGACAGGAAGCGATTGAAACATTTTACAGACTTGATCTTTAAAACTTCAGAAAAATTAGAACTAAAGTCATTTCATTTGAGCAGAATTAAAAAAAAATTTTTTCTATTTTTGTTTTTTTCATGTGTTAATTGTATATGATTGTGGTGTTAAAAATTATGGCCATAACATTCAGATCATTAAAACATAAAGCTGGCATATATAACGTGGGGTAGATAAACCAGAGGTTAGCTACACCTGAGCTTGTGCTCCATTATGTCCTCCTCAGCTCACTGTGCTCTAGTAATCCCAATGAAGAGAGTCTGTATCTCAGGAGTGCTGTTCTCTTCTCTTCAGATCTCATTATTCCTGCAAGAAATGGGCCCTGTTGATGAAATGAGATCGAAGAATAAGGAACAGATGATGTATCTAATCGAGACAGGTCTGCCTTGGTAATAATCACCATTCAGTGATGGAGACCCCTTCCCAGAATTTATTTCAATAATCACCATCATGAAGCACTCTGAAGCAAGGAGGATAAATGGAGGGGAAAGGGGGAATTAGCTCTATAATAAGTAAAACAGCTCAGTTTTCAATTTGCCTGCCTACTGAAAACTATCAGTGACTGCAGCAAAGGAAACTGTTGTGACTCAAAAGCAATAATTGTACCAAAGCCACGAATGCAAGTGTAATATACAACAGTTCAATAAACGACTTAATGTTGAGTAACTTACATTTAAGACACAGTAATGCTTTGTTTACTTTTGTTCTGGCAATGAAATTAATTATAAACAAAGCCTCAGCAAAACAGCGAAACTGTGAATGAATCAGTTGAACGAATGATTTGAACGAATGACTCGTAAACACGGTTACTTGCTGTCACCTTCTGGTGTAAGGATGTAACCTGCAGAAAGAGTCACTGAAAATGTCACTGCAGAACCAAACTCATTTGAGGGCTGGAACTAGCTAGAATTAACTTTGGAGATTGTTATTGCAAAAATAATGGAAAACACAACCATAAGCATGTTTATGATGGTGTCAATTATCAACATTTATTACAGTCTAAAAATACTTTTTTTTTTATAATGAGAGGTAATGGTAGGCTATTTTAATGTGGCAATAAAAATTGTATAATTCATTTTCCTGTTGGCATAAGAACCAAAACATAAATTGCAGAGTCAGAGTGAGAAAATGCCAGTGGGCAG